TTTTTAATTACTTTTATGTCAAAATTTCCTTACTGAAATAATTTTTAATTTTTCTTTTATATTCAACTAGGGTTGACTTTGAATTTACATTGACTTTTAACAAAGATCTGGGAAGAATAGAGAAGCAAATAATTCCTGGACATACATTCTGATTCACACATACATTTAGATGCCCCTAAAAATCACGCAGAAATTATTATAAAAGGTTATAAGTTTTTCTACTCAGGGTTCATCGAGGGCAACTAGTATAACAAAGTCCACTGCTACATCCTATGATACTTTGGTGACTAGCATCTTAAGAGCTTACATTCATCCATCTAAGGTGCATCTACTGGCCTCTCCCTGCCCAGTACAAAGAAGAGGGAAGAAAATCAAAGATGTATAGAAGGAAGTAGTCCAAAGGACTACTGGGCAATGGGAATCTCAATTTTACTACCCAAAGACCAGAAGAACAAGATGGGACCTGGCTATCTAGAGGGTCCTGGGCAGAGTTGGGGGGGGGGGGTGGGGAGGGAATATGGAATAAAACTAAAAATCATAAAAACAGCCAGACTTTCTGACCTAAAAGAGAACTCCAAAGATTATAGCTCTCAGTTATCCTCAAGCCTGTAACCAAGGCCATCCCCAAGACTCAGGCATGCTTACTCCTTAGAACAAGCAAAGATCAAAGGGGCAGTATTTGCCCAGGGCAAGCTCAGAAGATATGACTGGGTAAGATAGAACAGTGCATACAAAAGCTCAGGAAGTAAGTGGGAAGAGCACCACTAGCAATGTGGGGACTATAATTAACAACAAAGAACAAAATTTTTATGAATGGTTAAATGGGAAACTAATTTGCTCTGGAAGCTTTCACTTAAAGCACAAGAAAAAGCATAGTGTGGTTTTGTTGTGATGGTTTTTTTTCTTTCTTTTTACAAGGATAAGAGTTTTTTCCTAAAATAACTTCAAATAGTTAAAGAAGTTACACCAGTTAAATAAACCAGTGTATTTACTTACTCTAAGAAATTACAGATTTAGAAAAAAAATAATAGATTAGTATTCCTCTATCCAGCAACCAACTTCTAACTCAGAAATCAATGTAAATTTCTCTTAAAATAAATCTTAGGTTTCTGTAACAACAGCAAATATGTCAACTCCAAGACTAAGGTGCACCTGATTCAGGTCATGGTCTTTTCAATCATCTACTATGTGGGGTCAGGATTGGTGGACGATGTATCAACAATCTGTGTTATGCAGATGACACAACCCTGCTTGCTGAAGCTGAGGAGGACCTGAAGCACCTGCTGCAGAGGGTCAAGGACTGCAGCCTACAATATGGATTGAGGCTCAATGTCAAGAAGACAAAGATTCTCACCACTGGACCAATCGGCAGCATCAGGATGGATGGTGAAGAGATTGAGATAGTACACAGCTTTAGTTTGCTTGGCTCCATAGTCAACAGTCTTGGCACCAGCAGCCAGGAAATTAAAAGGCGCATTGCCATGGGAAAGTCTGCTGTTAGGGACCTCTCCAAAGTACTGAAGAGCAATGGTGTCTCTCTGGAGACTAAGGTGCATCTGATACAGGCCATGGTCTTCGCAATCACCTGTTATGCATCAGAGAGTTGGACAATGACCAAGGAGGATAGAAGGAGAATTGATGCCTTTGAGCTGTGGTGCTGGAGAAGAGTACTGAGAATACCATGGACTGCTAGGAAAACAAATAGATTTGTCCTGGAGAGGGTTAAACCGGGTGGCTCCTTGAAGGCAAGGATTCTGAGGCTCTGTCTAACTTACTTTGGACATGTAGTGAGGAGAGACCGGTCCTTGGAGAGGGACATCATGCTTGGGAGGGTGGAGGGACGGCGCAGGAGAGGAAGGCCCTCTATGAGGTGGATTGATTCAGTGACTGGGATAATTGGGATAGGAGTGTCAGAGACAGTGCGATTGGCACAGGACAGAGCGGAGTTTAGGGCTGTTGTACATAGGGTCGCTATGAGTCGCAGGTGACTCGACGGCACATAACAACAACAACAACAACAACTATGCATCACAGAACTATGAATAAGGATGAGAGAATAACTGATACTTTTGCTTTGTACTGGAAGAGTACTGAGCACCCACCCCATGGACTCCAAAAAGAAAAAATGGCTGTCTCGGGAAAGTGCAGCCAGAGTTTTCCTTGAAGACAAAGAAGGCAAAGATTCATCTCCCATACCTTAGACATGTAGCCAAGCAAGGCTATTCCTTGGAAAGGGACATTATGTTTGGGAAGATGGAGGGCCAGCAAAGGAGAGGAAGACTCCCAGCAAGATGGATTGACACTGACTGCAGCAATGGACTCAGGCATGTCAGAAATTAAGAGGATGGTACAGGAATAGGACAAGGTTCACAGTCAATATTCATAAGGTCACAATGAGTTGAAGTTGACTTGAGGGCATATAACAGCAGTAAGAGCCTTATTACTATGAAATAGTTTTAATCTTATGAATCAATAATCAGAAAGCTTCACTCACTACTTTTGTGGCTAATTGCCTGGTTTTGGTAAGAGTTTAAGTTTTGTAACTTAAGAAAATGAAAACTTAACGATTGTTGTTAGGTGCTATAGTATGCATAGGGTAACTGAAGTACTACGTTAGGTGCTGAGAGTCAATTTTGACTCATTTACTGTGAGCATAGGCTCTCAAGTTTATTACCTCTCAAGGTATTACCTCAGTCATCCATTAAAATGCAACAATGCACTGGTAAAACTGTTCTAAAGTGGGCTACTTCCAACTAAACCATATTGAAAAGGAGAGACCCTATCTGAAGCAGACACGTATTGAAAATCGCCTCAATGTTTATTTTTAAAAAGTTGCATCTCATGTGGTAGATATTCTTCAAGAAATCCCCAAGAGTGACATATAACCCAGAATACGTATTTTAGGACATGTTCTTAGGGATAGCATCATTAAGAAGAGGTGTCAATAATGACACCTGGAGACAGGGAGACTTCACAACCTTGAGTAATTAATTCACTGAAGTTAACTGACAAGGTTAGAAAAGTTAAAAACATACGCAAAGTGCTGAGCAGTTACATGGCTCATAGTAATCACTCAGCAATCCTTGTGTTGTTGTTAGGTGTCATCGGATCCCTGCAACTCATTATGAACCTATGCACCGTAGTCATTTATCCAGAGAGCTTGAAATTCCAACGACAATTAAACATAAATCCCTTTTTAGGGCACTTCTGAGGAGGATACAAACAAAAGACCAACGGACGAAGTTATTCATTAAAACGTACTTTGAAAAGAACCATCTTCGAAGACCAAAAATACACAATAACTTAAACTGACTTCTACAACTGTACGAAGGTTTCATGATCACAAATTCACAACCTGGTTCTAAAAGCCGGTAATTTGATTAGAATTCTCATTAGGACCAAAGCCAGCTATATCAGGGACAGTTAAAGGTCAAAGGCAACCAAGCTGAGGGCGATTTGCTCCACCACACAGAACACAAAGGACAAAACCAAAAGCAGACGTGGCAAAAGAGAGGACATACCGGGTGATACATCACCCTTGGGGATTTCTTCCAAAAATAAAGACGGCTCTAGCTAGGATCAAGTGACTCACAGGTAACTCGGGAGCTCAAGAGTTATCACCCCACCACCCCCACCTCCGCCACCACCTTAACGGCGCGCGCAAAAGGTCCCTCTTATCTCTCCCTCTACAAAAAGAGGAATCTGTGCGCCCCGGCCCCAGGAAGACTTCCTTTCTGGTGCCCACCCTCCAGCCCTCAGGCCCGGAAGAAGGACGCCCAACGGCCCACACAACCCCTAACCCCTAACAGTGCACGCGCGGCCCGCACAGGATACTGAATATAGTCCGCTCCCAAGGCTCCAGCATGTAGAGCGCTGTGACAAGCAGGTACTGGTAGTAGAACCAAGACATCTGTTTCCAGGCCCGCGCCAGCACCATACCAGCCATGTGCACGCGATGAAGCCGACAGTCAATCTGTCCAACCGGCCTCCCGTTCGCGTCCGAAAACCCCCGGCTTGGAGGCCCGCCCGCCCGCCGCTCTGCGCCCATTGGCCTGACCCGCCCGGCGCGTCACCCATGGGCACGCCCAGCTCCGCGCGCTCCCTGCTCCCGGACTGCCGCGAGCCCTGCCCGGCCTGCGCTCATTGGCCGTGCCGCTTCTTCGCGTCTCACGACTCCTAGTCTCCTCCTCGTTCCCTCCTCCCTTCGGGCCGCGCCCACGCGAGCCAGAGAACGTTCCCCGCGAGAGCGCACTGGCCGCTCCCTGCGTGCCGCGCCCCGTCCGCCCCGCCCCACCTCGCCTTGCTGGCGGTTGGTAAGGAAGGTGTTGGTGTGGTCGCTTGTGAGACGCCGTTGTTGGCCTCAAGCGGTCAGTACCGGCAGAGGAATCCATGAACGCTTGTCGGAGAAATAGTTGTTATACTTACGGCAGTTTATGGGGCAAGAGATTACGAAATTAAGCAGAAAAGTATTAGGCTCCTTACTTCATGCAGTTTACAGTCTAGCTGAGGGAGACATTATTAATCTGTCATTAAAATGCAGGTAAAGCTCTATTCAGAGCAAAGGAAAGGGTGCTGTGTTGTTATGTACTGGGTACTTTGTGAAGGCAGCGCCCAGTCTGTTTCGTAAATAGCGCTTGAAATTTCCAAATTAATAAAAACTAGTTTGTTGAGCTGAGTATCACTTATAATGAACCAATGAACAAAAAATCTGAACCCTGTTCTATCCTGTGCCATCCTCATCAACTCTGAGACGTTTGAGCCCATTGCTTCAGTCACTATCAAACCATCTGGTTGCGGGTCTTTCTCTCTTTGACCAACCCTCCACCTTTCCAAGCATGATGTTTCTCTCCAAGGAATAGTCTCTCCTCCAAACATGCCCAAAGTGTGTAAATCAATCAAAGCTCTGTTACCTTGGTCTGAAGGAGCACTCCTTAACTGTCCTCTTTCCAAGACATGGTGCTAAATGTAGGAAAGAACTGAATGAAGTCAGGGAAGGTTACTGGAGAAGTGATGCAAGTAACGTGCGCGCACACACACAAATATGTACATACACACACACAAAAGACTGCCGTCTAAGTGTGAGCTGATGATTATCTCATGGAAATGTTCTGTTAAATGCCCATATTTTCCCTCTGGAAGTAGGTCAACAGCCAGGCAGTTACCACTAGGCAAAATATACACTGTTCGCATCTGAAATGCCACAATTAAAGGGCTTTATTGTTTAAATTTTAAAGAAATAGCTTGTAGGCTTACTGCTGACGCTTTAAAACTTCGATAACTTTTCGCTTATTCGGAAGTATCAAGTGCTGTTTATGAAACAACAGATAGACTAAGAGCTACCCTCACAAAGGACCCTGTCGATGACAGAGAAAGATATTGATTCCAGTGAGGTGTGGTAAAGGATGACCATTATGTGGAGGATGTCAAGAGACTCCAGAGAAAAGGCTATTCAAAATTGTAAAGGACTTGAAAAAATATTTAAAAGGTTTCTCCAAAATAATGCTTTAGCTGTGTTTAGAAGGACAAATAAAAATGGAAAATGAATGGGCTGAAGAGGAAAATGTGGGATAGACAATCTAAGCAGAGGAGCATGACACCTTTACATGATGGTCTGTCTAGAGACTAAGCTGTGCCTGATCCAGGCCATCGTCTTCATGAGTACTTGCTATGCATCAGAGGGTTGGACAATGACTAAGGATGATAAAAGAAAAATTGATCCCTTTGAGCTGTAGTGTTGGAGAAGAGTATTGAATATTCCATGGACTGCTAAGAGAACAAACAGGTCCATCCGGGAGAGGGTGAAACCAGTCTGCTCCTTTGAGGCAAGGATTTTGAGGCTCCATCTCACATACTTTGGGCATGTTGCCAAGAGGGACCAGTCCTTGGAGAGAAACACCATACTTGGAAGAGTCAAGAGACAGCGCAAGAGAGGAAGACCCTGAATAAGATGGATTGACTCTGTGACTAGGGTAATAAAGATGGATGTATCAAAGATAATGAAGATGGCTCAAGATAGAGCAGTGTTCAGAGATGTTGTACACAGAGTCACTATGAATCTCAGGTGACTCAATGACATAGAACAACAGCAGCAGCACACAAAAGTGCTAGAAGAACTTCCATAACCACTCATAGCAACCCTATGAACAGCAAATCTGACCTCTGCCCCATCCTGTGCCATTCTCATCATCTCTGACATACTAGAACCTATTGCTGAAGTGACCTTGCCAATCCATCTTGTTCAGAGTTTTCCACTCCTTCACTAAACCTCCAATTTTCCAAGCATGATATCCCTTTCCAAGGAATAGTGTTACCTAGTTATATGTCCAAAGTATGAAAGATAAGGCTTGGGAACTTTGCTTTCGGCAGGAGGTCTGGGGAAGGGGTGGTCTGCATCATGTCTGGCTGTGAAGGTAGCAAGAAGCAGCCCCTGAAACAACCCAAGAAGTAGATCAAGGAAATGAACAAGGAAGGTAAAGCTTTCAAGCAGAAACAAAAAGAACAGAAGAAATTTGAGGAGCTAAAAGTGAAGGCCGTAGGCAAAGGTCTCCTGGCCACAAGTAAAATTAATAAATCTGAGAAAGAAAAAAAAAAGCTGTTCTTTGTAACTGAGGCAGTGATGAACCTTACTTGCGTTCCTGTTTAAAATACCTACATTCTCTAAAAACAACTAAAATGGTCTTTTGTGTTTGATGTAATATAAAATATAGAACTGATCTTTCCAGGGTCAGAGATGATTAATGTTTTTGCTATATACTTTTATACATTATTTTCTTATCAAACTAGTTAACAAGTATTTTTATATGTTTGTAAGCAAATATGCTTTCTCAGCATACCTTGTGTATATGTAAAGATAAGTATTTAATTCTCACTGTTCACTTTTAACTGATGAAGAAAAAAAAGTGGAAGCTACAGAAACTGTGGTAGACCTCTCCTTGCTGTTCTGGTCCTGGTTGTACCCACCTCTGGCCAGTCGCATACCTACTTACCAGACCTTCCCAACAGAGGGCAGCGTTCAGGATGAGACTCGGAAATCACTTCCAGCAACCTCTACTAGATATTGACTGTTAAATCAAGTATTAAATATAAAACGTTTCATTGTCAATTAGTAGAACTGTGATGGCTTCTGATTTTGGTTTTTAATTCTGTGGATTATGTTTAAACAATTCAAAAATACGTTTCCTGATTTTGAAATACTAGGTGGTATTGCACAGTTGACATTTTATTGAATGTGTACCACAGACCCATGATGTTTATAAAGCATACCCTTGTACAGCTTCAGGTACTAGAATTAAAATGGATGTTATCACAAAAAAAAAACAACCTACATTCTCTGCTATGACATCTGTTGCCACCTGTAGTTAATTAAAAAGAAGTGTTGTAATAGTGTTCAGCATTTTTTTCCCTGAATAAAATTTTCTTGTAGTAATCTTTGAGCTGTGGTGCTGGAGAAGAGTACTGAGAATACCATGAACTGCTAGGAAAACAAATAGATTTGTCCTGGAGAGGGTTAAACCGGGTGGCTCCTTGGAGGCAAGGATTCTGAGGCTCCGTCTAACTTACTTCGGACATGTAGTGAGGAGAGACCGGTCCTTGGAGAGGGACATCATGCTTGGGAGGGTGGAGGGACGGCGCAGGAGAGGAAGGCCCTCTATGAGGTGGATTGATTCAGTGACTGGGATAATTGGGATGGGAGTGTCGGAGACAGTGCGATTGGCACAGGACAGAGCGGAGTTTAGGGCTGTTGTACATAGGGTCGCTATGAGTCGCAGGCGACTCGACAGCGCATAACAACAACAACAATTTAAAAAAGTGTTGTCTTAGAGCCTGTTGTATATTTAAGAATAAACATTTGTAAAAGAAGAAAAAGAAACCAAATGGTAGTCAATCTCTTCAGTTCTTCTCACTTATCCATTCCGTTGTTACCTGTGCAAACTAAACACAGTACAGAATCCTGTCTGAATTTGTTCTTCATTATTATGCCCAGAATTCTGTACCACCTGGAATTAAACCAACTCATCTGAAATTTTACAAAAAATGTATGAAAGATGAAGCACTACCATCTTCCAAGGAGCACTTAGACTGCACTTTTTCCAAAAAAAGATATCCATTTGTTCTATTGGCAGTCCAGTACTTCTGTCCAACACCACAACTCAAAGGCATCAATTCTTCTTCTGTCATCTTTATTTGTTGTCCAGCTCTCTGATGCATAGCACGCATCTGGTGATTGAGAAGATCATGGCCTGAATCAGGTGCACCTTAGTCTTCAAACTAATATCATTGCTCTTCAGCATTTTTAAATGATCCCTCACAGCAGATTTGCCCAATGCAACACGTCGTCAGATTTCCTGACTGCTGGAATCAAGGGTGTTGATTATTGATCCTAGCAAGATTAAATCATTGACAGCTTCAATCTTTTGTCCATATATAGTAATGTTAACTGTTGTCCCTGTAGTGAATACTTCTGTTTTCTTGATGTTAAGATGTAATCTATAACAAAGGCTATAGTCCTTGATCTTTTGCAGCAAGCCTTCATATCTTCACTTTCAGCAAGCAAAGTTGTGTCAGCTGCATAGCACAGGTTGTTGATGAGTCTTCCACCAATTCTAATTCTTCCTAGAGTCTGGCTTCGTGAATTATTTGCTCAGCATACAGGTTGAATAGGTATGGAGAAAGGATACAACCCTGATGCATACATTTCCTGATTTTTAACCATGCACTGTTCCTTCATTCCATTCACACAATAGCTTCTTGATCCAGGTATAGATTTCATATGAGCACAATTAAGTGTGCTGGAATTCCCATTCTTCTCAATGTTCACAATAATTTGTTAGATCTACACAGTTAAATACCTTTGCATAGTCAATAAAACAAAAATAGACAGTCTTCCTGATATTCTTTGCTTTCAGCTAGGATCCATCTGACATCAGCAATGATATCCCCGTTGGCACAGCCTCTTCTAAACCCAGCTT